AAGTGGTGTTATGGAGTCGTTCTCTTTGGTTGCTTGTTTAGGTTTGTCTGTTGTAGGCGTTCCTGCACCTTCAGCAGCCAAAGAGTTTTCGTCGCGGAAGCACTCATATTTTTACCGTATTTGAATTAGTTAGACCATATTCTTGGTCATTGCCTTGAATTCGTTAATTTATTTCATCTCTATTTTTTCGAACATGTTCTTCACTTAAGGTATTGGCACCCATTCTCGAACAGAACCTATTCTCGAACACTTTTACTATTTGTCGTTTTTTGCTATTAAAATGTGTCAAACACTTACATTCTTGAAGCCACAGGTGTCTTTGTTGACAAAAGAGTTGAACTTCATTGCTGTTTCATTTATAATATGCATCGGGATGTTCTTTACTAAAACATTGTTACCTTCAGAGAAAATGTCCCTTTAAATCTGAGGACTGACTGTSCTCCAAGCCGCGCGAAAATATTCAGAAAATCAAGGCAAAAGACGAAACAAGACAACGAAAACAACAACTGCACCACTTCAGCCATTTTGTATCCCAGGGGCCAGTTCGATCTCATAACAATTGAGCCTGTAGCCGTCCAGCGSCGTAAAAACCACAGGCATCCCAAGAACCTATTCTCGAACACCCAGATTTTGCAGTGTCAGCAGATTTTTTTTTAAAAAATTGCGCGCGCGCTTTAATTTTTTTCGCGCGAAAAAAAATTTCTTTCACTGCAAATCGCTCGCTTTCTAGAACAAAATTGTAAAAACGTTTAAAATCTGCTTTTTTTTCAACATCCAAGAAAAAAAACATTTTATTAAGGTATGTACCAAGGGAATCCCCCTGATCAAATCGGTATTTATTGTCTAGACAGTGTCTCGACGGTGTCTACACAATGTGGCGTCTTTGGTCTTCAATGAAAGTTGATGTCAATGACCTATATTTTACATCTATATTTTACATAGATATACCCTGATATGTTTTATTTTAAAGATATTTTATCTATAATATTTTTCCAGCTATTTCAAATCAATCCTATAAAATTGTAGAACTTTTCATAAATCAATGAAACAAAAAAAATTAATGAGAACAATATAATGTAAGTTTAAATAACATACAACGATATATGTGTATATATATGGTAATGCCAATTAACATTGAATAAAAGAATTAAAAAGCACACTTTTCAGATATTAATGGATAAGGAAAATAAAACACCAAATTCATATTCTAATTAACCCTTCAATAGTATTCACTGATGCCACGGCCCAAAAAAGCCAAACTCTGGAAAAATGACGACATGGAGGCTGCGATGCATGCTGTCAAATTCGAAGRCAAATCCTACAGATGTGCAGCACAGCTGTATAATGTCCCCACAACAACTCTGGTTGACAGATGCAGTGGTCGTGTAACTCATGGCACCAAAAGTGGCCCAGGAACCATCCTTTCTCCAGAAGATGAAGCTAAACTTGCTGCGTATCTTGTCGACTGTAGCAATAAAGGATATGGGAAGAGTAAAGACATCATAATATATATGGCTACCTCCATAGCTAAGAAAAGAGGCCACAGCACTAAAGGTGGTTCACTTAGTAAAAAGTGGTGGCAAGGGTTCCTCAAGAGGCACCCAGAAATATCAATGAGGGCCTCCCAAAATTTTGGTGTTGTGAGGACCCTTGTCACCCATAACATGATCCACACATTTTATGAGAGGCTTCTAGAAGCTATGACCACCAATGGTGGAAGTCTCTTGGAAAAACCAKCTCATATCTACAATTGTGATGAGAGTGGTTTTAGYTTTGATSCCATCRATAAGATTGTAGCAGCTGCGCGTGGTATAAAACATGTACCAAGAGTTTCAAAGGGGCAACACGAGAAGGTAACTGTCCTGGCTTGTGCTTCTGCAGATGGCAATACAATGCCCCCCATGTTCATATACAAAAACAAGTCTGGTAGGGTGCCTGCCWCCGTTCAAGAGGAAGCCCCTCCTGGAACCTTATTTGCYGCCCAGAAGTCCGGCTGGATAGAYAAAGATCTATACCTGAAATGGTTTAAAAGTCTCTTTCTTAAACACATACCAGCAGAACGACCTGTGATGCTTCTAGTTGATGGCCACAAGTCACATGTCACTGAAGATCTAATCAAAGAAGCTGTGGCAAATGGTATTGTTATTTTCTGTCTTCCTGCTCACTCTTCCCATCTTCTTCAGCCGCTTGATCTTTCATTGTTTGGTCCTCTCAAGAGGGGCTGGGTCAAAGCGTGTGCAGCATTCAACYATGTAGCGTCAGTTGTTGTGTGTCAAAGAAACTTCGCCAAAATCTTCAATGTAGCTTGGCACACATCAATCACACCTGAAATCATACAAAGTGGCTTTAAAAAGTCTGGCATCTTTCCATACTGCCCAAACAAGTTCGACTACTCCAAACTTGCAACATCCATTCCTAGAGAATCCAGTCAGAGTCATGAAGTACCTAGAGAAGCCAGTCAGAGTCATGAAGTACCTAGAGAAGCCAGTCAGAGTCATGAAGTACATAGAGAAGCCAGTCAGAGTCATGAAGTACCTAGAGAAGCCAGTCAGAGTCATGAAGTACATAGAGAAGCCAGTCAGAGTCATGAAGTACATAGAGAGTCCAGTCAGAGTCATGAAGTACATAGAGAGTCCAGTCAGAGTCATGAAGTACCTAGAGAGTCCAGTCAAAGTCATCAAGTCACCAGTGAAGCAATCCAAGCTGTTCTTGATTTGTACAACCTCGAAAAGATCTTAACAAAAGAGCAGAGAGAGAAGTTCAGGCGACGTATGGAAAACGGATATGACCTGGAGGTCGACACGCTGTACCTGACATGGAAGGAGCTGTTTGTTGCAGCAGGAGGTAAACAGAATTCCATGGATGGCTGCCCCTGCAATGGTGCGTGCAGTTGCTCCTGTAGAGGATTTGGATTTTGCGATTGCATAGCAATCTCGTCAAATCAAGCAACCCCAACACCTAAACAGACCACAGTCACATTAGCACCTGTGCCTTACACTATAAACTCACCAAATGGTGACATTTCCATTGACGAAGATCTCTGTGGGATAATGCTCGAGCCAAAACGAAAAACATCAAAAAAAAAGCGAAAAAGAAACACGTCTACAGATCCTGGGAACAAATGTGTAACCAGTAATGTATTTCTTAAAGCCCTCCAATCCGAGAGTGATAGGAAAGAGAAGGAGAGAAAAGAGAAAGAGGAGAAGAAGATCGAAAGAGAACAGAAAAGAACAGAAAAGAAGCAGTTAGCCGAAGAAAAGAAAGCAAGGAAACAAGAAGAAAAGCAGAAAAAAATAGAAGAAAAAAAGAAAAAAATGGAAGAAAAACAAAAAGAAATAGAAGGAAAACAACAGAAGAAAAAAAAGAAAAGAAGACAACAATTCTTGGAAGAAATCAAGACCAGATATCAATGTGGGAGATGCAATAGAGAATATGATGAGGATGAGGAGTGCGACTGGGTCGAATGTGACTATTGTGACACTTGGTATCATTACCTGTGCACTGACTTGCCAGTTCTTGACACCATACAGGAACAACAAGATTATACCTGCAAAACTTGTGAAAATAATGGATACCCCTCACATAATGAGTAGAATTTGTATATTAACGTTAAGGTTTTTGTCTGTAAAATTAAGAGGTTTTTTGTAAAATTAAGAGGTCTTTTGTTTGTAAAATCAACAAAGCAAACACAAAATATTTGAAATTATTAACTTTTTGCATTATGGAAGTAAAAGAATGTTACTTACCATTTTTTTTTTGTGTTCCTTTCATGAAATTTATACTTGAACTTATTTCAACATGTGTTCATTTCCACGTGCTCACAAGGACATTATTATAAGAACTCACAAATTTCGAGCCGTATTTTGAAAAGAAAAGAATAGAAACACCTTGAAAGTGAAGATAAGTGATTCATATTTATCTTCCGGTTGGTTAAAACAGAATTTTCTGCTATTTTATGCTGCTTTTTCGTGAAAAAAATGTGGTGTGCGAAAATATGTCCTACGCGTTCGACGACAGGTTCCGAGTGTTCGAATATAGGTTTTCGTCGTTCGAGATTGGGTTCGTGCGTTCGAGAATAGGTTCCGACGACTAGTTATCGATTTATTGAATTTTCTCAGGAAAACATCGATCAATTAAGCTATATTTTTGTTTACAATTGCCTAAAGGACTAAAGATTATAAGCTATCCAAAAGCGAATCGTTTTTTAATTTATTTTAGGAGAAAGAACGACAGACAGGTAAAGTGTTCGAGAATAGGTGTCAATACCTTAAGTTTCGTGCACCTCCGAAAACTTTAATCTAAAACAATTCTTATTATTAAGATAAGCAGTGGTCGAAAATAACATAGCTTATAAATTGGAGGAATTCCAGTTTGTCGAAACGTATATGCATAGGTCATTGCCAAACTGAAGTATACCATATTTCCTTTCTGGGGATTAC